ATCCTCTTAAATTGTTATCTTTCTTTGTAATTATATTCTGACAGAGTTGGTCTGGTGCCTCACCGTAACAACATTTGTGGACAGTGCTTAATACTATTTGCTTATACGTACTGCTCAGTGTTTTCCAGCCAGTTTTAAGCCACTTCTTGGCTTGGTAGATCCCAATTCAACCTGTAGATTATACGTGCGGCCCTTGTGTACAACCTTTCATTGGCTTTGAAATGTGTTTTACCACAGTTTCCCCAAACGAGAATGATGTTACGGATGGGAAGATTATTTTCCAGTAAAAATCTTCCAGCATATGTTTTGGGAGGAAACCCATTGATTTTAACAAATTTAATTTCCTGACGAATGCAAGTTTGACATTTTCTGTGTGTCCTCTCCATTTTAGCTTATTGTCCAAAGTCACTCCTAAAGATTTTGACTTCTTTACCCACTTCACTAAACTGCCATTTAACTGTACTGGTGGTAGAGGACCTACGAAAGTTCCGCGTTTTATGAGCATGGCTTCTGTTTTGGCTGGATGAACCGTCATTCCGTTTTTGTAACACCATTCACTCACAAGGCCTAATGTCTCATTTAGTTTGAGGATCACTTGGTCGACTGTTTCGCCTATACTAGTCAAGGTCGTATCATCGGCGTACATTTCTAATTCTTCACCATCGTGCCGTGCACAGTTCGGAAGATCATCGCAAAAGAGTGCGAATAATAGGGGCCCCAGGACTGATCCTTGTGGCACCCCGTAGTCAACACCCTCTCTTTCAGAATCACACAGTCCTATTTTAGTGAATTGGCGTCGGTTACAGAGGTAGTTTCGGATCCACAACAACAAATTTCCAGAGATGCCTGCCCGCTGTAACTTTAGCAGTAGTTGGTGATGAGGGACAGAGTCAAAAGCCTTCTTAAAATCGATGAAGACAACTCCCACCACTCTATTGCTGTCGACTGCTTTCCTCCATATCTCTGTCCTATGTAACAACAGTGCTTCCGTTGAACTATTTTTCCTGTATGCCCACTGACTTGGGTTTAGTAAACCAGGATTAATTTCAATATGGTTTACTAAGGTTTTGTGTACTTCCTTCTCCATTAATTTGCTTGGAGTGCACAGCATGGATAATGGTCTATAATTATCTCTGTCTGTCTCATCATCTTTTTTATGTGCTGCTGCTATTCTTGCCACCTTCCACAAACTGGGTAGAGTAGCAGTCCTTGCACTTGTTTGGAAAATATCTGTCAATGATGGTGCGATTTCTTCGGCAGCTGCTCTCAGCAAAATCGGTGGCAAGTCGTCTGGGCCAGTCGCTTTATGTATATTGAGCCTTAACAAGTTCTCTTTTACACAGTCTTCCTGTATTTCAATTTCCATACTGTTGGCACGTAACGGTTGTTTAAGAGTCCTGCTAACTTTTCTCCTGTAGTTGCGAAATGCTTATTCAATATATTTGCTATCTTTCTATCATTTGTGACCAATGCACCAGTATCTGACTTGATCGCACGAATAGCTTTCATGTTTGATTCCTTCCCACTGGCTTGATTTATAATTTTCCAATATTTTCGTGTGTTTATTTTTTTACCATTTGCAAGGTCCGCAAAGTAGGTTGATTTAGCTCTCCTTAATTCTGCTGTCACCTCATTCCTCAACTTCCAGTATTCTTTCCACAGTCCTTCGTTGTTTCTTTCTTTCTTTGCTTTCTGCAAAGCCTTGTATCTCCTGTTCATTTTGTGTCTCAATGCACCGCTTATCCATGGCAATGTTTGTCTTCGAAGCTTAACTTTTCTTTTTGGCGCATGTTCTTCACATGTATCTTTGAATATATCTGTCCATACTGAATACTTGTCTTCGACATCTTCGAACATTTCACAAGTGGACCATGGAGCATTCTGTAGATCCAACTTGAATTTTTCGAACTCCATTTTTTTGCAGTTTCTTATGGTTACTATCCTGGGAGGTACCTTTCATGGCTTAAAGTCCATAGAGAAGGATGCTAGGTTGTGATCGGATATTCCAGTGTCTGCTGTTTTAATATTTTCCACCAAATCAGCTTTGCTAGTGATTATCAAGTCGATCATTGTTTCTGTGGTAGGCGTTACCTTGTGAAATCTTTGTTTATGACGGAACAGTCAAATTGAACAAGCGCAGACATAAGTTTTTCTTGTAGTCTTAACTCATGTCCGTGTGCTGTTTTGCTGAAATTGACGTTAAAATCCCCCACCAAAACTAAGTTCTTGTATTTGTTCCAAGCTTTTTCTAAAGGTATTACTATATCTTCAAAGAAAGCCGTATTGTCCGGGGGTCTATAGAATGAACCTATTGTCACAGAGCTTGATTTGGTTACTACTCTTAGCCACATAGCTTCTATCTTCTCATGATCCAAATGTTTCAAGTGTACTGCAGTTAGAGTTTTCAATACAAAGACCATTCATTCGCTACTGGGTTCTTTGAGGATTTCCGTTTACTTAAATTGCTTTCACCATGTCCTTGGTGTTGCTTTTTCTTGATACGGTCGAGATCCCTACTTGTGTTACTGACTTTATTTCCCATAGTCTCTACTTTGCCCTTTAGAGAAGTTAGCTCTTCAGCGTTTCCCTTTATTTCCTCTTTAAACCGCTCGTGAATAGCTTTTGATCGTCCTTTGAGGCTTGATATCTCAGTTTCTAACGTTTGGATTTTTGAATTTCTAGCTTCCAACACAGAATTGAGTTCATTAACTTTATTTTCGAATCTTTTCACTAATTCAGCACATTCTTCTCTAACTGCGAGGAGTTCTATCCTCATGTTTTTTACTAAGACCAGGATCTCTTTAGAGGACATTTTCTCATCCGAATGTTTGATTTTGGTGACTGGATGTGAATTCGAATTCACCTGGCAAAACTTATCTGTTAGACTTTGCGTAAGGTCTCCCGACTTCCACTCGACTTGGGGTAACTTGACTGAGTGGTTTCTCTACACCAGCTTCAGCGTCACTACACCAGTGAATTGTGTTTACCACACCTGATTCACTGACAACTGATAGATCGGATGATCCATTTTCGTTTTTGAACATGTCCTTTAACCCCATCGTGACAACCCTGGTATTAAAGTACTCGTGTATTTCACAAATATCATTTGGGCGATTCCATTTATTAAGCGCACCCCCCCCCCCTATTGAGGGTTTTCAAAAAATACCCCCTGGATATTGCTTTAGTAATAGGGTATGTGGATTTCTCATTTTAACATTTCCCGTGGATTTTCTAAACCTTTGTTAACCTATTGTGGGTAACATAATTTCTCCCCCTGGATTTTTGGATTTTGTTCAATGGATATTTTGCATATGTTCTTTGAAATAGAATTAATACATCCCTCCCCCGTCGACAACTTTCTAGGTAAAAAAAAATTCCGGGCGAGTACGTTGCAATTGCTTTCCAGGTACTTTATCTCAATTTTTCATACCAAATTTCAGTACTTAGCCCAAAATAACAAATAACAGCATTAATGCTGCAATTTAGCACCATGGATTTTATTTTTAACTATTACTGTACCAATAATTGTTTACTGCAATGGATTTTTTAACATTTCATATTTTTACTACCATGGATTTATTTTGTTTAAATTTTTTCCATTTGGATTTTTATTTGGATTTTTTTATATTTACCCATGGATATATCTTGAAAAATTTCTTTCTCCTAATGGATTTTTGTTCTTTGGACCCCCTTGATATCCACAACCCTCAATAGGGGGGGGGGGGGTGCACATATTAAATGGATGGCCCATTGCCAGTCAAATGAGTTCATGCTTACAAGAGGCACTTGGCGCCTCAAGATGCTTGATATGCCGAATTGGTTTCGGCTGGCCATTTTGAATGGTTTCAGCAGGTGATGGCTTTTCCTTGGTGCACTATCTAGGAACATGGCGAGTGCTTTGCAATTGCAAATCATGGCATGGTCACAGATGATAGATAATAGTGAGCTTAAGCAAGTGACGTTTTTGACAACACGGACGTCGACCGGAAGTAAAATTGACATTTTTCACCAATCACAGCCCTTGACCCAGTCTTCTGACGTTACTCATGCCGTTCGTGTTGTCAAAAAAGTCACTTGCTTAAGTTCACTATTACCTGATGAATCACCCAGCCAAAATTGCGTCTGTGATTTTTTATGAACACGCATTGGCCGGCCGCCATTTTGGCAGTAAGTGTAATCCACGCCATGAAACGTGAGCAATCACGCATTTTGGCAGTAAGCGCCATTTTGGCAGTAAGTGTCGCACACGTCATCTGGCGTGATAGACTCGCGAAAATCGCAGACACGAAAGTCATAGGGATAGGTACACAGTGATTCATCTGGTATAATCTATCATCTGTGGCATGGTGGCGGTTACGCTGTTTAGAAATACAAACATAAACAAAATATGTAGGCATGTCTGTCAATGCTTGTTAGTGTGATCAAGATACAAATGTTTGATGCGCGTTTGCACACTTCGGTGACATCCATAATACTCTGTACCCGAGTAGTCAGTTTCACTGAATACATACAGTATAAAAAACACTACTGAATATCTGAATGCCCATCATATGGGCAATTTCACGTTGCGGACATTACATTCACAGGAAAACAATTAATACAAAACATGCTCTGTTTCCTGTTTGCAACAGTTTCAGATCTGGGAACTTTGTCATAGAAAACCTTAAGGGGACCTCTTAAGATTTCATAAAATAAAACAAAATTCCCTCGTAATCAATTCTTGTACTCTAATAATTGTTGCGGACATTACTGCAGCAAAATCAACCACACATTGAAGTGATGTTTTTAAAATGTAATTTCCTGTGAACTTTGAAAGGTATCAAAGGAACTAAAACACTTCCTGCTCTCAGTGATAATTGGGGTTAAAAAATATGAAAACGAGATGTTCTACAATATTCTTGCGCAGCTTTTATAGTGCAATTAGTTTGTGTTGCGGACATTACACTGAAACTGTTGCGGACATTACATTTTTGGGATTGTATAGCAATCTGTATTAAAAATGATAGGAAATCAAAACTGGGTGACTGATTATGCACTTCAATGTTTCTAGTCCACATAACAGGCATTCTAGCTTAATTCTACTTACATTTGTATACCCATGGGCGTACCGGGCGGGGGGCGGAGGGGGCGGCAGTCCAGTTTGTTAGGCAAACAAAGCCAGTCGGGCAATATTCGCTTCACACTTGGGCAATATTGGCTTATTATAAAAATAAATGGGACAAATTCTGTCAATTTTGTGGGGAATTCTGTCAATTTTGTGGGAAATATGCTATCTATCCAATAGGAATTCTTCGTAATCACTAGTCCCCCCCTCCCCCCCCGTCGACAACAATTTTGGAAAGTTTCTCCGGAAATTTTTTTAACAACGCGGGCACAATCCGAAAAAGTCAGGCAAATTTCTTTCCTCCCCCCTAATTTTTTCCTTCCTGTATGCCCATGTGTATACCACCATAAATCCTGGGATGAAATCATGGTCACATATATTACAGTATATAATCTTCTGTTGACAATAATATCTTTCAAAAGTGCAATATTTGTTGCACATAGACTCAGGCTATGACTCGGGTTGTGCAGCAAATAAAGTGTCATGTTTGTAGACCATTCTATTTGACAGTTTTGCATTTACTACATTTGGTGGGGATAATTAACACCCCTGGGTTTAGTGGAAGATGATCAAAACAAACATGAATTAAAACATGATTTTGCTCTTAACAACATATGCCTTACAAAACTGATGGTACAATGGCAGTATACGGTAGTGGCATTATATGTAACTTGGAAACTTTCCATGATGAATTGTGTCACTGTGATTGTGTATACAGCACGGAGTGATTATAGTTAAAAGTAAGGGTCCCATAGTCCTTTTAATGTTCTATTTTTAAGTCATCAAGCTTAAAATAACTATAGAATTCAAGCAAGACAATTATATAAGCATCTAATTCTCCAATTTCAAAAATGTAATGTCTGCAACGTAATGTCCGCAACACATTATTCAAGACATGTTAATACTTTTTATTGTCTTTTTCCAGTCTAAAATAATGTTAATACCATTTTAAAAAAGCAGCACAAATATAATGTCAAAAGAGCTAGACGTTTGGCTGAAAAATAAATTGAATTGTTTTTTTGTTGCAGACATTACATTTCTCTTACCCAAACTTCAATGTACCATAAATCACAGCAACACTGGATATTGTCTGATCTAACATTGTCATCATGATATGTGAACCTTAGACTGTGTTTGTTAAGAAATATAACTTATTTCAAAGTTAAAGTGACTGAGTTATAATTATTTTAAATAAACACACTTTATCCACAGAACAATAGCAACAAACAAGTGCAGATTCGATGGTTTGCCGCAGAGTGGGCATGGGCCAAAATTCAAAAATCGTTTTGATTTATGATAATCCAATGTGTTAACTATGGAAACATGTGGTTAGCACCACATTTTCAATGTCTCATGTGAAATTGACCATATGCATGCTGTCAAACTGTTGTGGACCTGTGGTTGACCAAATAATATTATTTTGGTATCAGTACTTGACCAACATAGAAAGTATTTCAGTGACCAAAACATTTTTGTATTTATTATTTAGAGACGACTTCATAGCTTTGACAACTCCAGAATACTCACTGTAAAAAACAATAACCTTTCTTCAGGTACTACATGCTGTTTGCCAGTTACATATAAATTAATATTATTAAAGTGACCAGATACCTGGCAGCCAGAAATTTAGTAAACTGCTGGCAATATGTTATATGGTGACCATAGTTAATTAAAATTTAATTTTTATCAAATAAACCAATCCCAAACCCTTATCTAACCCTGACTGGTAAATGTCTTAAAAAAGTCAGAAAAAAGTTTTAAAAATATATATTACTACAAATAAAGAAATAACAGCTAGCTGCCTGCTACTGCAGAGTCTAGACTGCAATAGCTTAATGACAATTCTTCGATCCAGTGGAAATAGGTTTTTCTCTACAATGAACTGCTCTATCAATGATATACCAGTTGTATTTTTCCACCTTTATTAATTTTTCAATTTGTGTCAACCCACATGAAAAAGTGTTTTAATTGCTTCCTGACAGTGAGTCGATCATAAGACTTGACAAAGCGCTATGTATGCCATTATACTGTAGTGCACACAATGGCCTCAAAGCTTTCAATAGTATCCAAATTAATATAAGCAACAAGCTAGTCTCACTGTCACATCTAAGCTTTTCGCTCGCAGTTAGAAATTTTCCTTCAAGTTGTGTTTTCCTTCACGAATGGAGTCAACAGACTAAGCTTGAGTACGAATCTGCCAAGCGTGCGAATGGGAAAAACTTGGGTGCGAATCTACCAAGCCTGGGTGTGAATCTACCAAACCTGGGTGCAATTCGACCAAGCCTGGGCACGAATCTACCAAACCTGGGTGCGAATGGACCAAGCTTGGGTACGAAACGGTAAAAGGATGGGAAAAGGCAGGAGTACGAAACAACCATAAAGTAACCTTTTTGTCCTCTTAGATATGCTACACCATCTTTGCGTCCAAATCCTCAAAACTCGAACACTATTTTATTAATGTGCAATTGTGCATGTTAACACATACGAATTAGTTAGAATTACATATTATAATAATTAAATTTGGATCTTATTCACGTATTTTCCATATAAAGGGGCGGACCATTAGAAAAGTGATGGGGGAGGGGGGGGGGAGTGGAACTTCCGGCTGCTTCGGCATTGCAGGAATTTTTTTTACTACCAGATTTCCTGCCCGAATTTATTTTTTAATGAAGCTCTGAGTCTCTGACGAAGCTTGGGCCTTGGGTTGAAAGGTTTCAATCGGCTTTAGTCTTAAAAAACTCAGTGCTTGATTGCAAGGAATAAGTACTAAAGAGGGATCTGCTGTATGTTGCGCGAGGCGGCAAGGGATATGCGGTGCATGAAAGAATTAGTTGTAAATTGTCTCCATATTTAATATATAGCAGCAATGATACTGTTCAGGATATCTTTTAATTCAGCAAATGCCCTCTATATACAGTTAGTAGAGAGTTGAAGATCTACGACGCGGCCGGCTCAACGACGCGGTCTGAATTTCAGCTAAAAAATGAACGCTAAGCAATTTCATTACTGTAATAAATGTTTGACGATTTTCAAATAACATTACAAACTGCTAAGTTTGACTAAAGCGATGCAATGTTTGCTGTAATTTCGACATTAAGTATCACCTTTTGGGTCGCAATAAGCTTCGCGTTGCTTGAAAGACGTGATAATGCTTAGTTTAATGAACTGCTGAGCATGACAAAGCCGTTGAGAATACCCCTGGGACCACAAATTATTCACAGTTTTTGTCTTGCATGACAGATTTCTTTCTTTCGCAAGCGCGTCGTTGAGCCGGCCGCGTCGTAGATCTTAAACTCTCTGTGATATTCAAGGCCAGCAGCAGGAAATTTGGGATAATGTTGTGATGTGACACAATTAGGGATATTTTGGGCTGGGATCAGGAAACTTTGGAATAGGGATATAAACGGTACATTTTGAATAACTTGGGTCAAATGAACTGCTGCAAATCTATTCATAATTACTCAGGGACGCCGGAACTGGGGGGGGGGCAGCCGCCCCCATTGCCCTTTACCAGGAAGGGCAAGGGGGGCAAAAGTGCCCTTTCAATTTAAAGGATTGCCTTGGCGAAATAGCGAATTGTCAGAAATTGTCAGTGCAATTAGCGAATGGTAGCGAATTGTCAGTGCAATTCTTTTACGAAGAAATGCAGTCATCGAGCTTCAAGAATCATGCCAAAAAATATTACTATCAAGGCGGACATTTGCCTCTTTGACGCCCGCGCGTGCGTAATTGCAAGTAATTACGATGATGGCGGCTAGTGAGAAGTTTATAGGACTACAGAAGAAGGTTTAATTAAAGCCGATATAGAGTTATATAAAACGCTCGTAAAAGTTTGGCAACCTCGAACTTGTGTGAAATACTCGGCCTTCAGGCATACATACATTATCTTTATGTTGTTGTTCATGAAAGTGTAACCCGCACACCAAAAGCGCAATGCGTTATGCGTCATTCATGTTCACGCGTATCACACTACAAACATATTACACTGCACAAAATACATTACTTATCTCAATCTGCCTGTTGACTTATATACTGCTCTATTAAATGTATTAATTGACGAGATATTGCGAATCATTATAAATAAACGTCGCTTACAGCTGCGTTGCGCGACGATTTTTCGGGAATATACATGCTATATAATGTTATATAAAGATATAATACATACTTATTATTTATTGATAGTAATGTTAAAATTAATTAGGAAGGTCGTCTTTATTCGAATTGCTTCCCCACGAGCCTTCTTCGCCAAATTCATCGTCGCTTACTGCATCGGTAAACGCCAGAAGAGTAATCCGAGCCATAAACAACTAGATATTAGCCCTGTCGACCAAAACATTGCTAACACAAATCGTCGAAATGACACAGGAAATATTGCGCCAAATTTTAACATTTTGGTACCATATTGATCACTGGATTCCAGGCTTTCAGAATCCGTGCGTACTTCTGTCGTTTACGCATACTTTAAAGAATACAGCCGCTGTATATTTCAACCACGGGTTCACCGTAGTAATAATTGCGACCAGCGAGCGAGCACCAGCGAGCGAGCTGGGAGCATCCTAATCTGTGTCTGTGCGTAGAAAATTTAAATATACCGCTGAGTTCGGATTAGCCCCGGCTCAAGATTCACCGATTCACCTCGGCTTGCATTCCATATTTGGAACATATTTCCATATTTGGAAGACCGCATGAAACGGTATTTCCGCCGCTGTTATGCCGCCCAGTGTTTTATTTACTCGTCGATACTGATGCAATTTCATACATGTACCTTTAACTTTTGTTCATCAAATTGTACATCAAATGAAGCTTAAGTTAGCATCTACTAACTGTTGTAAGTCTGTTATTGAAGACAGATTTAAATAATCAAAAAGATTAAATGCTGTGCATGAGGATGTTGTGATGTATACAAAGAAACGTCTGTTGTTTGAAAGTCATGTGGCTTTAATATTTATCTTTAAATTGCGCTTTGTCAATCGGTATTGTTATTGACACGTCATGCTATTCATAGAAGGCGACTTTGCGCCGTAGCGACAATATAATCACAAATTATTACTATTTGTTATGTAATTTGTAGCAAGTGACGTAATTGGATACCAATCAGTCAAGTTAATATTTTGATAAATTTATCTAAATTGGATATTCAGTGTAAATGGGCCGACTTTTATTATATAATGAGCAATATTGGCCCATATATTATCGCCACTCCTTTGCATAAACTTGAAAAGTTGTTACTGTTTTTTTATTTTGAATATATCAATAGACAATATGAAATAAAGTACCTTGTCATGTGCATGTTTATTTGATGCAAATCGTTATATAAAAAATAAAAAAAACCCGACCGACCGACCGACTTTTGGCAAAAGTAAAGAATGATCACCAACTATCTGGCCAAAACAGCGTGAGCCGGCGCGTTGTCATTAGTGACTAAAGTCTCCAGGTCGCACTTTTTAACCTGTGGTTACGCCTAGTCTATATCAATACTGCGGCCGGTCGCTCAAGTTCATGGCCAAAGTGACACAGGAAATATTGCGCGGAATAAAAAGCAAGCCATGTAGACATAAAGAGAGTATCGCAAAGAGCATAAAGCCGTGCGTACTTTTGGGAAAAGTCAACTATAACTAGGTAAAATTCGGGTTTATGTGATAAAAATGATAGTAAATTGCGCGATTTGGGCTTTAAACGCAACAGGATGCCGATACCGAATATTTTGGTGATCAAATGTCACAGCATATTTTCCCATGCACAATTGCCTGGCGGAGAATCCCCTCACACCCATATCATCCAATAAATAGAAAACATGATTAGGCGAAGTTCAACTCCCGCGATGTTTTGCAAACATCTCTTAGAAAATATCAATTCAAAAGTGCCCTTTCACGAAAATCTCCCCCCCCCCCTTGCCTTCACATCGTTCCGGCGTCCCTGTAATTACTCAAGTGTAACAGATTAAATATTCTTAAAAGTAAAATTTGATTCGTTTCTAAAACAACGATCTATCAGACTGAGTATAAAATGCTCTTTTATACTGCGCACTGCAGAAATTTTTTTCCACTTCTTTGCCCATGAGCGAATTTTTCTTTCTTTTTTCCTTGAGCGAATTTTTCCCCCCCCCCCCATCACTTTTCTAATGGTCCGCCCCTAAACGATGTGTGAAGGGAGCCACTTATTTATAATTTATTATTAATAGTACTATCTCCACCTGCCTTCCAAAGCACTCCATATACCGGAGTAAATCAAGCTGCTTCATTACGTACAATGAGGACAAATGGTTTAGATGATTCTCCTTTTACTTCGCATGGCTCTTCATCAACAACATTACTTCATAATTTGTATGAAAAGATTGAACGACAAAGTCAGGTACTTCACTTTAATATTTGCCAAATATGCATACTGTATTTATGTTTCAGACTTATTTTCAATATTCAGTTTTACGATTGCGGAATTGTTAATCCTTGGCATTTTGTGTCCTCCCTTGCATCTGTGTTTGCGCAATTTCCCCTTTTTTACGTAACTCAACATATGAAGATCTCCTTATGTGGAGGTAAGGTAACCTACCACTTAGACCGCGAGCAGTCCCTCGGGAGAAAGGAGGCACGCCCGGGAAGCTAAACCACTGAGAGCTAAACCCGTGGAAACGAGGGACCGCTCGCAGTCTACCTACCACTAGGCCTTCGCTCGAATCGTTGAAGTTCTTCTTGTATTTTTCAGGTAGTTGTATCCCATCAATCCGATGCTTTCTCATTATTGGCATTACCTCAACTGACCGTTCAAGATATAAACAAAAACATAGCCCTTCCGCTACGGTAACCCGGGTCCTAGGGTCACCCGACGCGCATGTAAATCGCGAACACAATCACTACATAGACTAGAGTAATCCGCTTACTCAGTAGGGTCATCCTACTTCCATGTGGGCTGGACTGCCTCTTCACCAATCCCTTTTCTTTATGAGATACAGTATGAGCATTAAGTTACCCTTTAAGTATATATTTTAAGACGAGCATTATTCGTGTTAACAGGGCTTTGATCTCCTCAAATCTAAAGTAGATACGCTAGAGACAGAAGTAAATAATCAACGAAGAGAAATGCAACAATTTAAAGGTAATTAATATGCTAAAGTTTTTCATCTGTGAAAAATTTTATGTTAAGTCTATTATTGCATTGGTTTATAAAACATTTGCGTTTCTTACAGAACGTCTTTCCCAACTTGTACAAAGAGTAGAAAGTTTTAAACCTGAAAAAGATCATGGAACCACATTTGAAGAGGTATAAGAGAGACTCAGAGATTCATGGTCGTTTTGATTAATGTATTAAAGTGACATTTTTTACCTCTATGGTCCCAATACGTTGCGATGTATCATTATTAAATAGTTTTTTTTATAAAATAGTTTAAAAGTGAAATCAGATGTGAACTAAATAAGATCAAAGATTCTATAGTCGACCCAAAAGATTCTATAGTAGACCCAAAAGATGAAAATGATGACCATGGATGGAAGACAACGACAACTGAAAGGTGATATTTATCTGTACAACATATTGTTAATTATTAACAAAGTATAGGGTATTCTCTATTGAGCTCCGTTCTCAAATATGCCTCTCTCTCTGATAGGACCACACCCGTTTTAGAGGAATAAACTTATTGAGCCTCTCTCTATTACTGTAAGCCCCTCCACGTTTACAACAAAGGAAGCCAATCATCAAAACACATACACAACAATATCAAAGGAAACCAATATTGTTTATACCGATTGGATTATTATATTGTCCTGGAAGCTAAATCAAGACGGTAATTTAAGTCAAACCGCAACCATGGCTTATACAGAAAAAAGCTGCACGATCTACAGCTGTCCGTCCTCTCGGCTCTCTTTAGTATTGTTGCGAATTATTTCTATTATACTTTAAAAAACACCAGGAATGCTAGCTACATCTGTTCACTAGACAGAACGGCATGTCTAAAGCTAACCAGTCTGCAGTCGATCCAATCTCGTTCACCGAGCCTGCGATCCTCGGGAAGGAACGTGAGGCTCTGGGATAATCCGTTTCAGGGAGGAATCTGATTGGCCGTTGACATCGAATGCGCAGTTCGGTCCCTTCGGTCTTAGCCAGGATTCCTGGCTTCCGGCAACGGATTATCCCAGAGCCTCACGTTCCTTCCCGAGGATCGCAGGCTCGGGGAACGAGATTGCAGTCGATCGAACTTAGTCAAAGACAACCTCGTTCCCAGGCTATTCCCTCTTGAGGAAGAAATACCCTGGTTCCGGCTGATCACGTGTCACCAGGATTTCGCGTAATAAATTAAAATGTACCTTAGCGTAGGGTGGTAGAAGAACGTGTTTGTTGTTTTTGAAAAGAAGGGAAGACCCTGGGAACAAGGTTGAGTTCAAAAATGTGGTTAGGCAATCGTATGGAAATGTCTTGTAATTATTGTAGGAAGTTGTAATTTCTTTGTTATCAAAGGTTAGGTCATCATATGACTGAAAGCGGACAAGTTTTAAGCTCTCTGGAAGAAATTCACAGTAGACTAGGTAGGTATTTTAGTTGTGTTGTCATTATAATATATAGTGGTCAGTTTCTAATAATTTTACAACAAAACAATATTCGAATTACGATTTCTTTTGTAGATAAAATCGAGTCCGATTTATCAAGTAGCCAACATAATGTGGAAAATAACAGTAAAATGGTTGAAAAGGTACATGAAAATTAGCCACCATAACATCGTTTCGAACACATTATAAACGTGACGTCGTACTGGCCTAACGTAAAAATTCTTACGTAGGAAACGTTCGTCCCTAGATTCCAGTCCCCCGTTGGCGTAATATTTTATAATATTGACTAGACCCAAGTCTAAGGTGTTTATGTATCATTTAAACTTTGCTCTTTTCGAAGCACCAAATGAAAACCCATTTTTCCTTTACTGCATGTACGTTGTCACTGTATAAATTTCATCTTTTTAATATTGAGAAAATTGTGTCATAATGGTTTTACATGTATTGTCTAGAATGTAACGTTATTATCTGACTGGAGAAATGAAAATATGGAATCAATGAATCGGCTTTGCAAGCTGCAGGATTTGTCTGTTGATGAAGTTAAACACTTAAGGTGATTTTTCTGTTTAGTATTGTTTAGTATTTATCATAAGAATTAGTATTGTATTTTATTGGGGTTTTTTTCGAAGAAATTCGATTACACACAATATGCTTCCACAAGAGTACAGTTTTGTATGTGGTCTTTTGACTGTGGTCTTGGTGAAAAAGATACAAAATAGTTACTGTCGTTCCAATTGAAGTGTTGCTCAAATATTGATTCAATACATTACCTCGGGCTGACCAATTCATTTCATCAAGTTCCTCGAGATATTCATACACTTCCTAGTATAATTGTAAACTTCCTGTTGAATAGTTTGAATGCACCAATCACCTTTGTCATAAATAGAAAGGAAGTGACCAGAAATTATCAAATACTTGGAATTGGCTCTTTCACAGGAAGTGTATGAATATCTCGAGGAACTTGATCAAATGAATTGGTCAGCCCGAGGTAATGTATTGAATCTCTGGTATTGAATCAATATTTGAGCAACACTTCAATTGGAACGACAGTAATTATTAGAAAAATGGTTAATTACTTTAATTTTTATTTCAGATCCAAACTGTACGATGTGCAAGATAAAATTCACGAACTTGAGACGAGTCTAAATGACGCTCGCGTTCACAATGAATTCTCGACCAGTCGAAAATCAAATAGTTTTCTTGGTAATAACAGTTATATTCTGTTTTATGCTAATAGTGCCGTATATGTTTAAATAGGATGCGCATGCGTGTATATGCACAATTTATCGCCGCACAAATGGAAGCGTGCATTTGGTTATTATATGGGTAATTGGCAGATACACGCCCTCAAATTTAGAAATACTCCCCAAATCCTAAATTCTGGCTACGAGTAGACCCTGACTGGAAACAGCAGGGGAAGATACGATCCTGAGGCAGAGTGATGGTTAGAATAGTATTTTATTAATATGAATACCGTTCAATCTCCCTATTAAATACGGGCATCAAAGTTACAGACCAAACTGGCAAACTGTCCTTATACTGTAGAGGTGCCCGTTTATAGAAATCACGTTACTTTTAAGTTGAAGTTTGGTATATTAATACCAAAGCGTCACGGGTACATGTATATTTGCTACAGAGATGGCCTCCCCCCTTGCAATCTCAAATCCTTCTCCAACTGGAAAAGTGGGATATAGGCAGTAAAACTGATTCCAGCCTAGATGAAACGTGCTCATTGGCCTGAAGTGATACAAAACTGTCTGTAAGGCCAAATAAAAAAAATACTTGGTTAGCGTCACACTCTCACAAATTTTCAGAGGCGGGCGGGCGCTTTTTTTTTTAATTTTTACTCGTTTTTTAATTTTTTAATAGTATTTTTTGGGGGGATGGGGGCGGTTTTTCCACCATGTCGGTGAAATTTTTTGTACTGATGTCGCGAAGGCCGCCATTTTGCTATAAGAACCTTGTATACCCAATCCCACGCGCTCCTATCGATCAGTATATAGCGCGAAGGTCTGAGCAAGAGAAAAATTTCAAATATTAATCTGTTTTAAGCTGTAAAACGAAGAGATTTACATAAAAAAAAAAAAAAAAATTCAGAGGCGGCAGAAAATCGAGAGGCGGGCGGTGACGCTAACCAAGTATTTTTTTTATTTGGCCTAATGCTGCGCCCTTTAGGCTGTAGCTTCATTGCTTACCTTGGACAACTGAGACCTGGTAATGTGCACAGTTTGATTGCAATGGTTGTAAAACAACTCTGTATGTGGTTTAGATAATGACATGAACCCGAAAGTAAAACACAGTTACATCTCAATATCGAGCGATGAAGACGAAAGACATAGTTTTACAAATTCAAATTCGTCTGACAATTTGGATGCAAGCGATCATGGTGATTCATCACTTGGATTCAATGGTTAGTATACAGTATATGACACTATATGTCGAAAGTTTTTTTCTGGATGAAAATTTCATTTGATTCTACGTAGTACGTTCAGATTTAAAATTTATCCCCCGTATTCCTTGGATTTGATCAAAGTACTACTTAACCAAAACCATGTTTTTTTTCAAGTTTTACTATTCTACTAAAGGTGTATTATATGGTTGATACATGTACAGTATGGTGGTGATCAGTACTTAGTATGAGATGTGTGTGCAAATCATTTTCTTTGTTTCAGAACTCAACCTGGACGGCAGTGATAGACAAAGAGAAAAATCACAGAGTTCTGGATCAGATTTACTTCATTCATCCTTGAACTCACTAACTGGTTCTGAGGATTCCTTGAGTGAGATATGATCTACGGCGATAAAGGTGATACGTTGCCTAAGATACAGTAACTGCCACTGTTCAACTCCCTGGTCGTAAACGCAAAACGATTTGGAAATGCAACTGAAGGATTTATGAAAGCGCATGTATATGAATGGTACGCGTCACACGTGTATGAATGATTGACGTGTATGAATGGTTCACGTGTATGAATTCTGAGAAGTTAAATAACTTTACTCTTAGCGGAATACAGTAAAACATGACCAACATAAAAAGCTTGTCTTCAACCATATGAACTTGTAACCTAGCGTAAGGTGAGGCAAAAACAGTACCTGGGTTTCCTATTCTTGTTGCAAAAACGTTATGTATAGGACAGGTCGGGTTTTTTTGTTTTGTTAATTTTCTTTATAAATGCTCATGCACGAGAATGATATTCTACAGTACGTCAATTACGGCAGCACAGATGGCGAAACAAGCAGATTATAATTTTTTTGACAGGTTATACTTTATACAGCTAGTGACATAACGCTACGAACTGGGTACGAAAAATTGCTCCGAAACCAATGCATATTTGGCCTAATTTACATATCAAGCAACTAAATTAAAAATTAAGGAAAGAGAAAAAAACATAAAAAAGATTGTTGTTTTAGATTTATTTCTATGTTTTACTTAATTATTGCATCTTTTACATAAGTCTGGTAAATATCAAATAATCTATGATTTTGAAATATCTGTTCAAATTCTTTCAAACTTGTACAATCTAGTGTCTGAAATCCACTGGCAATTCTGCAAAAAAAAATCACTTCAAATGAATGAGAAAATCAGCGGAATGTTTTAGCGCTGTTCGCAAACCTTCGGCTTCGTGTGTAAATTGTCTATTTCAGCACAAATGTCAAATGAACTTGTTATTTTAAAACTGTGATTAATGTATAACGACTCTTTTCACATAGAAAGAATTCAAAATATGAAGAGGACAAGTTAGTTAAACGAAGAATCGTACAAGACAATCGAGTCAGTCTGTCGTTTGCCTTCAATACGTCATCGTCAAACGTGGAGTTTCAGAATTGCATGATACGCCCAGTCATGGTGACACTGTGACAGTCAGTTCCATTTATGACCAGTCAAACTATTGAACAATTCATTACCTAACATTGATCAATTCATTTGCTCAAAAATTGCTCAACTCCCTGTTTACTGGCATGCTTGTTCCCAATTGGTCAATCAGTCACTGAAACGCATAGCCATTGGTTGATTCGAACACACAGGAAGTTGATCAATTTTTCAACGAATGAATTGATCAGCTCTAAGTAATGAATTGATGCGATATTTTATCAACACTTCCATTGGCATTGCAACGACAGTAAACTCTGTATTAAAAATGTGCATGTTAGATATTCTGTTAGACGTTTTGTGTATTACCAAAATATATCTGATTCAATAGAACTTTCTTTTCACCAATTCTTTTTAATGAAAATCCATCCCTCTCAAATGTTCAGTAGATTGATCAAAAGGTTTTTCAGTATTGCAAAATGAGTGATTTCAAAAGCGCGCATGCTCAGACCATTATTTGCACCAGTTATTTGCAGTTAACGTATTTATATTTTCACCAGTTATTCGTAGGAAAATTAGCCAATCAACGTTGAGAAAATGAATAAGTAAATGATAATACAGCTGTGATTATTTGCACAATATTTATTTGTTCTTACCTGTTCTGGGAAGTATTTTCCACTTCACACAAAACATCCATCATTCTTTCTTTACAAGCTCTCCCTGCTGAGTCAACATCGACTGTACATGTCCTCAAACGTTTTAAATATTTACTGATGTCTGATTTGAAACCTTCAATAATCTCAATAATAATCTTTTCCCAGAACAAAATACAACCATTTAAATTAAGTTCTGTTACCCAATTTGTAATTGTCTTTAAATATTTTTTCCGTGATCTCATATGATCAAACTTCAATACACAAATGTACAATTTATCATCATTTACTGGCCTTTTTCTACTGACTTGAATTTCGGTTTCTAGACATATTTCGGATATTTTTTCCTGTAGCCACTCTACAAGTTTTAAAACTATTGGTTCTGAAAATTGCGCCAAACTTTCCTTTGCGTGTCCCTTCAATAATTCTTGTATTTCACTCGTCTTCTTCCTTGTTAGCTGTGTAGATAAAACCGATATTCCTGGCAAAGAACTTGGATAGTCTTTGCTAAGTGAAACACCGAGTCTCATTTCAGTATTTTCAGAGGGAATTTTGACGGTCAATTGCAAATTTTCTACCTTGCCTTCGACTAAATTACGACAAGAAGATTCAATATCTGCATCAAGTCGACCATCGTTAACAAGAAACTCGTCCTTGGCACAAAAAATTGAATCAAGCACTTTAAGTTCGTCGAAAATAAGCTGAACCCGCTCCTCGACGTTCGCCATTTTGTATTTTTTTCGCAATTAAATATTCCATTGTCTCAAACGCATACTCCGAAAGTTAGAATTCGTAAGCGAAGATAACACGATTAGTGTTCAGAACGTAGTTTGGCGTATGATTCTTACAATTCTATTTTTTTCCTGTTTTGGTGGTATACTCATGACAACAAAAAATATGGAGATAAAAAATATAGAGAAATAGTGTAAAAGAGTTGTGTATTTCTGCGTCTGTTTTGTTTCAATTTTCGCGCTTCTTCAAGATTAATAAATAGAATTGTTATGTCCGACAAGAGGTAGGGAATTTCCTAAAAGGAAAACGATGTCTCGTATCTGCAATACTTATTTTGTCCTTCAAATACAGAAATTCTCCGTTTATATTCTATATATATATATTTTAAAATATAAATATCACTTATTCACTTTACTGTATATATTTTAATAGTTTAAAAGTATTAAATTCTGCGTATTTTAAATTTAGGTCTGAAAGATCCTTGTGGGATATTGCTATTGATATAAGAAACGACAATGAAAATAAAAAGAATGGTAATGTGTAAAATATTACAGTAGTAAAAGTAGTATATTTCGACAGCCATGGTGAATTTCCTTTCTACATGCGAGAAACTATAAAAGCTTGCGCGAGTAGTATATACTGTAGTATGTACAAAAATGAATAACAAGTACCTACGGTGCTTTTGCCACTGAAACAGAAAAATGGAAGTCTGACTCCAGCTCAAAACATGAAGCCAAACATGGTGGATTTTGAAGGCATGCCAGTCCTCCCAATGTGTGTGGTCGACTGAACTTATATACATTTTCCCTATCCCCAAGTAAAATCGAAGAAAATTTGAATGAAAAGTTGAATGGAAATTTTGTTTTGGGTTGGTTCTAATAATCTTGAGAATTTTTGGCTGTGTGGGTAAGTGGACTAAAACTGATGCCCAAAGAATGCCTTCAAAATTCACCATAATTGACTAAGATACAGAGTTCAGTAGGTTTCACTGCTGCCAAATTGCTGCATGAAATTGATATTTGTGATTAATTTGCATTAAGTCAATATTTAAAATCAATCCAGCAAAATGGCTTGTGGAACATAGTATTAAACTGTAACTATGAAGTGTTGGAAGTATGAATTACAGGGTGCGATAATTCAAGATTTTTAGTTGTACCTGACTGGTACTCTAATGACTATCGTGTCGTACTTGAGCTGGTACAAACTTAAGACTCAAGGTGTACAACTTACCCTTTGAAATGGGTCATTCCAGAAAACATCCATACCACCCCCACGGAGGAAATAGGAAGTTAACCCCCCTACCCCCTTCGGATGTCCTAATACATGTACTATTATCAAAAACAATTTTTTTCTCCCCTCCCCCTCCGGACAGCAGAAATTTCCTCTGTGAGGGGAGTATGGATCTTTTCTGGAACGAGTCCCAATGATGATGTGCCCGTGGAACAGGTTTCTGAAAGGTATTCAGTAACCCGAAACTACAAGTTAGAATGAGAAGGACGACAATTACACAAAACACTAGAATTGGCTCCAACATTCCCATCAGTCCAGCATGTTTCATGCCCAGACATGTCAGATGGACCTATATATACCTTTACACAGGGATGGATTTGCTGCGGGGGTGGAAGGGGGGTGCACCCCCTAGCCCTGGCCAGGGGGCTGCTATTTTTCATGATAAAGCAAAAAATTATTAGAGACAAAATAAGACACAGTAATTTGAGTAATAACATGATGATAAGCAAACTGTGAACAACAATTACAATTCAAATGCTGTAGTCAAGCAAAACTTTGCAGTAGTAAGCAAGTCGATGGGTGGGCGGCACACATGACTGACACAATTAGCTCGGCACCAGAGCTGGCAGAGCACCCTACCAGATCATGCTGGATCCATCCCTGCCTTTACATAATAATACAGTTTTGAATACCTTCGGCTTGGTACTTAGGTCCTTTGGTACTATCAAAAGTTCCACGTACCTACGTGGTACTTGGTTAAAAACAAAGAAGTACCAGACAGGCATATTGGCATACCTACAGTACGTAAGTATGCAAATTATCGCACCCTGAATTACGTACTGTTATTGTATTGGGGAATGGAGGTCAAAACCCTGTAGTGAGTATCAGGTTGAGTATACAAACAGTCAAATAGCTTCGACAGTGATCTATCCAAAACAGAGTTCTGTCAAGGTGCTGTGTACTTGTTTTAGACAAAATTTATTTATTAACTTTACAATCATACAAAAAATTATAACAATGATTGAAGGTATGGTCAACAGGACATGAGTCCCATGTGAAGACCAACCTGATACAATACAATAAGTAGACATACATTAAAGACAAGGACTAGAACACTATTTACATAGCTATATAAAAATTAATAGTTTAGATTATGAGCAACAGCTTAAAATTAGAGCAGTAGGTTTTTCAAGTGCGCATTCTGTTAACATCGAAAGAAGAGTCTAATTGAGAAGAGTAGTGAGAATGGAGCTGGAGCTTGAAGGATGAAACAGACGAACTGTTACGAATGATCGGAGAGAGATTTTCCATAGAAAGACAATTCGGTTAAAAAAAAGAGTTTCTAAAAAGAGAGGTTTTGCACGGATTGACTTGACAGAAGCAAGTTGTCCTTGCTTGAACGGGTTAATTGTACTAGATTGAAAGGGTGTCCACTTCACATTATTGATTGCTTGTTAATTGTACTAGTAAGATTGAAAGGGTGTCCACTTCACATTATTGATTGCTTGTTAATTGTACTAGATTGAAAGGGTATCCACTTCACATTATTTCACCCTGCATAGCACATACTGTATAATGCACCCAGGAGTCTCTAAAGTACTTTTAATATGTGCAGGTGAAAATGGTGAAAAGATTCCTAATCAACAATCAGAAGAACTGAGCATTTTAATCATGGGCAGTAAAGGATCAGTAAGAAATTTATAAATATATTTTCAAAACTTCAATAATAGAGAATACCAGAGTATTACAGTATGACTTGTTGATAATAGTATCACTGTGATTGTTCTCATTTGGACCTGAATTGTAAATTCTATTTAATTAAATATTTATTTACTTTAACCCATTGAGTACTGTGTTAGACAGAGTAAAATAATAAAGTGGTTAAGTTTTGTTGACTTAATATATATATACATTTATTATTTCCATAGGGAAAATCAACGATTGTCCTGAGATTTCTAGACAAGTATGTTAATTTATCTTTTACCATACTGTACAACTAAAAGTAGTCAAATTATATCTACCATAGGCCATAGCTGCCCATGCAATTATATAATATAATTGCAGTATAGTTGCACCTGTTCTTATAAACCAGAAAAAATTTCTACTTTCAGAGATGAAAATCCTAAACCAACGGTAGCCTTAGATTATACATTTGGAAGAAGAGCAAAAGGCCACAACATGGTTAGTAACCTTTTCATTTTTTGTTTTGCCATATAGTTTTAAAATCCATTCTCCTTGTTCTTATTTATGTTTGTTGTTTTTTGTTAACCCGTATCACATGTATCTCGGACTCTCAGTCGTAAAAATTGAAGGAAAGTAGAGTATGGTTTGTGTATGCAACATGTTTGTTCTGTTCCCGGCATTGAGGCAATGCGAGCAATAGTCATGAGTCAATGTGATCAATATTCATGACTCATGAGAATGCGAAGAATATATGCACTGTAGAAAATGTACCCAGCTAGGATATTTGTTTTTCTTGTTGTTGTTTGGGGGTGTTAACAGGCTGAGGGTGTTGACAGGCTGGATTGTGAGCAGTATGCCAGTGTTAGGCCGTGTTTACAAATGCATCTCTTGCCAGTATTAGGCGGTGTTGACAAACGCGTCCCTTGCGTATGTTCTCTATTGGTTATACTCCCATTGTGATCATGTTTTCAGCAAAGAGATATCGGTCATATTTGGGAACTTGGTGGAGGTGCATTTCTTTCAAAACTTACTGAGGTCCCCTTGAAGGCTGATACAATCAGGTGAGGTATACAGTATTTGTACAATAAGGGGGATGTTAACAGAGAGGAAATTTATTTTTGTTGTCAAAACATGAAGATTAAGGTCATTCAAAATCTTGAACTTCAAATGGCAATAGACCTTTCCCCTTAATACCTTATGAGTGAAATTTTGATCTAGATCTGCCTGGACGAAAGTTTCATCACAGCTTGAAAGAGCATCACAAAATTAGTAATATTCCGAAGTTTCGTTGTGAAATGTTGTAAAATGCGGATAGTATAGCCTTGCGAAGTTTGCCGTTTTTCAGTCATTTTGCATTACAAACGGGAAATTGATAATCAGATGATCAAACTGATTATGAATTTCCCATTTGTAATACAAAATGACTGAAAAACGGCAAAAATCGCAAGGCTATATTATCCCCATTTTACAACATGTCGCAACGAAACTTCGGAATATTACTAATTTTGTGATGCTCTTTCAAGCTGTGATGAAATTTTTGTCCAGACTTGTCTAGATCAAAATTTCACTCAAAAGGGGAAAGGTCTATTAATAATACTGTGGACACGTCCTTTAACACACTCACATCCTTTTCTTGTTATTTCAATATTTGTTAATGTAATTTGTAATGGCGAAGTTGTATAAATAAATAAATCTAATCACTTCACATGTGGGTTTTTGTCGTGGGGCGTGGTATTTAAATGAATTTCTTCTAAAAACGGAGCTACATTAATTATCAGCAATATATGAGAAAAAATTGGGATACTCTGGTTTCCCCCTACTGGTCCTGTAGTAAAAGCGACACTGGCCCAATATAGCATATGTGGCCTTACTGGTACTCAAAGGAGAAAGCTTAGAAGTGATACTGTACTCTGTAGACAATAAAGAGCGATCCTGCATGTATAAACAAAGTTACCTGTAGTTTAGTAATTAATTTAGTCTTTGAACACGGTCTCTTGGTGCCCATCACACAACATATATATATATTATATATATATATATATATATATATATATATATATATATATATATATATATATATATATATATATATATATATATATATATATATATATATATATATATATATATATATATATATATATATATATATATATATATATATATATATATATATATATATACTGCACCTATGTGAATACTTGTTTTTCTTTTTTCAGGTCAACATCGGTACTTCTTGTTGTAGATTTATCTAAACCAAATGAACTTTGGCAAACAATGGAAGTCCTTTTAAAAACCGTTAGTAGTTTTAAATTAAACTTTAATGTGACATTTCCTTTGGAATAATTTTGAAGTGGTTATTAGTTTAATATATTAAGTGTGAATTCAATTTCTTCAGACAAGAGCTACTGTGGATAAATTGCTGTCAGATTTGAAGAAAGAAAACTCCAGGTTTGTTTGAATTATATTGCTTAGCTAGTAGAACCTCTCTATTATGGACACATCTCTATTACGGACACCTCTCTATTATGGACACCTCTCTAATATACGGATACCTTTCTATTACGGACGCCTCTTATACAGACACCTCTCTAATATACTGACACCCTTTAGTACACTGACACCTCTCTAATATATAGACACTTCTCGTATACTGACACCTCTCTATTGAGGACATCTCTCTAATTTCTTTTAAGCAAGAACTAAACAACAGTGATGGCTTTTTTGTACAGTCAGATGGAATTTTCGAACACAAATTTATATACATTTTTGGACTTAACCAGGAGAAGTTGCGAAAAATGCAACTATAAGCTATTAAACGAAACAGGTTTAAGTAGTATCTCATCAATACAAAGGAACTCAAAGCGAATTAGCTAACTATTTTGTAACAAAATTACTCTCTCGTGTGCTTAAGTTAATTAAAAACTGTCAACATTCTTCAAAGTCAAAAGCATACAGAACTTCAAATACAGAGAAACGACACAAACTGAGGTGATAAAGATGGCAGATTGGAAAGTCTGTTCCTTCGATGTCTCTTCGAAATATACAAAAAAATCTAGAAATTTGATACTGTATATATCGAGATGCACACAAGTCGTGACACAAGCTTCGGAAGATAGTACATTGTCATTTGAAGTACCAGTTGATGAAAATGTTCATTGTGTTACCTGTGAAATTGCACCGGATCTTTCAAAACAACCCCCTATGCGTTGAGAGACCCAGTGCAATTTCGTGGGAGTGAAAATCTATAGTCTGTATAGAGCTGCATATCACCACATATCTGCATGCACTCACCATGATGGCTTTAACCGTAGAGAAACTGGGCCAATCTAAATGACATAAATTTTACTGCTAGAAATAATGTATAGGTTAGAGAATCATGTTAGTAAATTACTTATGGCTTTTTCTAACAGCTTAGCACAGGAGATCCAAGACGCAGCTTGGACACGATTTGGAGAAAATCATGCGGTAAGTTGATAATTTAACGATATTTTAAAATATTTAACCAACATTACCCAATATTTCGCTCAACCTCGTAGACATGGGCATTTCCTGGAAGTGAGAAAATACCCTTGCCGTTACTTGTAGTCACGCGACTGCCTAGATTTCGGGCAGTGACTCATATACTTCGTGAGGGAGAGGATGAAATAATAGCTACAGGGTACATGCAGCTACCATGGAAATAAATGTAAATAAAAGAAGGCGCAAAGCGCGGTATTTAACCGTTTAGAACTGACGATAGGTATGAACTAAAATTAGATGCAGTGATCCACGTATCCACAGCAAATGTCGCGAAACCTCGTGTCCACAAATATTCAGCCTTTGGTTGTATTACGATGCATGGGTTCGAGATTGTCTATTGTGAGCAAAACTTCATTCAATAGGCGCTATCACATCTTTATCCATATTTTACTTTAAGGATAAATCTTTCCTCACTCCATTTCCAATTCCTCTTGGAATTGTGGGTACCAAATATGATATTTATCAGGTAAGAGCGTTTTCTGCAACAAATAAAACGTCTTTCCATTATTCTGTACATTTCTTTTGCATGAAACGGCAACTATACAGGGTGTATAAAAAAACGAGACCTTTAGAAGTCAAGCTCTTGTTGGAATTTGAATACATAGCACTATGCTGAACCCAGGGGGCATAAAACAGAATAGAAGTGAATTTTATGCATGACGAAGTTATTTAAAACTTTCATTTGGTTTCGTCCAACATATGAATTATGTGCTGATTAATTTAACGCAGCGCGTAAAACAGTAAAAACTCTGTGGGCAGTTGAACCATTTTTATTCGAACTGACGATATGACTAATAGTACTTTGACTATTTTTTGTGCAGTTATGCTCTTTCATACGATTAGAGGCTATTTTGCTTAACCACACCCTGCATGCATAACATATATATTGCAGTCAGTGGCGCCCGACGATTTGGTCCCGCTATTGCAAATTTCAACTCATTATTCATTTCTTTAGAAATTGATTATGTTGATAGTTTATAAACATGGCAATATTTGCATAGCTAGCGGGACTGAATCGTCGGGCTGGCTACGCCACTGATGGCAGTGATAACAAGTGCCATGCTACAAAATTGTCCAGACGATTTGTTACTTCCTTGAGAATTTTTCGTTTCATTTTTTCCATCAATGTATTGTTATTTGGCTCTCACGTTTTTATTGTTGTGTAGGATTTTGATCCTGAGAAAAGAAAGATGATCAGCCGTACTCTACGTTTTATTGCTCATAGCAATGGCGCACACCTACAGGTACACTTAACGTTATTTAATGATTCATATACTATGCATCTTTGTCAGACCCAGTCTCTTTACCACAGAAAATAACTCACTGCCGTCTGATTTATACATATAGACGTTATACTTTTCTCATTGTTCCGACTGAAGGATAGACTTCATTTCAAATATATTTGACCGTACATTTTGCAAGAACTACCTCCTCCGCAGGTGCTTAGGGAGCATTACGGGCAGGTTCGGAAAATGCGGGTTACAGGCCTTCGTCTTTCGCTTTACGTTTCTAAATATGGCCCGCAAAATTGCACCGCCCGCAAATTTTCCCGAAAAAGGGCCTGCGGAGGAGGTAGGTGCAAGAATATAAACTGCATGCATGCATGCAATGTCAATCTCGTTCCCAGAGTATGCCTGTTCGCGAGTTAGGTAGTGGCACTACCTAACCCGCGAACAGGCATACTCTGGGAACGAGATTGATGCAATGTTTGATTTTTTGTTGGGAGGGCTACCTAAGGTCCCCCCCCCTAACCTCTAACATTGCACAAAATTATAATTATTATGACCATTGAAGCAGAGCTGATATTTACAATATCTTGCTCTTTTGTTTTTTTCAAGTATTTTAGCTCTAAAGCAGAAGGATTGATAACTCGAACAAGAACGTTGTTTGGCAGTTTATTATTCCGTGCAGCAGCGAGGTGATTTTCTGCACTTGATTATTTTTAATATTTTATGTAATTGAAGCTATTAACAGATAAGATTGCTGTCTAAACCAAGGATGACAAATCTTCTTATATTATTTTATTTTCTATAGCTTTGAAAAAAACATAATCGTATACTTTCAATTGAACCATTGTTTATATAAAAATAGAAAATTGTTAGTTGTTCACCAATAGATTTGTATCACAACTGCTTGACACTTCAATACTTCATATACAAATATCACACAAATCACTAACATTAAATTTTTGCTTGAATGTCGAAAATCTTCTTATATTCCCTTAAATCTTCTTATAATGAATATACTGTACTGTAAGAATTAAGATTTTTTCTGAAAAAATATCCATCCCTGGTCTAAACTACAGGATATATGGACCTGAAAACATTGTGGAAGCTTAGCAGAACCTTCGTTCGAACATCGATGAGTTTTTAATCTTTCCTAGACACGCGTCATCTTATTGTTGAATAGTATACCTACACTATTAAATGCACACAGCATAGTACTAGACAGTGAGCAGTTACACTGTATTGCAGTTTCCATGTGCTTAAACTTTATTTTTCTTCATTGTTGTTACAGTAAAGTTGTTTCTACTGACCACAACAAGCCAATCATAGTGCCAGCTGGTCATGACACCTTTGCAAGCATTGGTAGGTTGTACATGTACTTCGTTCATACCCGTTCATTGTGTTGCATTAGCAAGAAAAACCGTTGGGTAAAGCCTGGTTTTCATTTAGTCGTGTCTGTATGTCATGAACATATCAAGGTGGCCGATGCAAAACCACTAGTGAGTCGAAGTTCTGCTTGTATTTTTTAGGTATAGTTGTACCCTGTGCACGGACGTAGCGAAACATCTGAAGTTGGGGGGGGGGAGTGTCGGAGGATTTTACCTAAAATTTGAACTTTAATGTTAAAAATTCACCTGGAGTGTAATAATTATAACAGAGCTTTTTCTGATTGATTTCCACTGTCATACTAAGTTTGCGAAGAAAGGGGGGTCTTGAAGGTCTTCCCCCGGAAAATTTTAACATTTTTGAAGCTCCACGACTGCATTTCTTGCGTTTTCTAAAGCAAATTCGCAAACGAATTGGATCAAAATTGAATGTATTTTACAAAAATGGTTATTACTAATGGGTATTACGCAAATTTTACCTGAAAATGTCAAAATTTCAACTTGAATTTTACTTGAGTTTCACAGTTGGGAGTGGTTTACACCCCCCCTCCCCCACACACCCCCCGGTCGCTACGTCCCTGTGTACCCTCTTTCAACCGACAGCTGTCTCGTTGTCGTTGCTGCCTACACTGACACAGACCGTATATTTATATAGTCAGTAACAACTTATTTGGATACAACGCATAAAAGGCGACATAAATTCCCAGACTATTTTACACCGTCGCACATGACTTGGTCATACAGTACATGACAGTTTAACCAAGCGAAAACCAGGTTGACCCTGTTATCTACCAGCATTTCGCCCGCCACTAACAATGTGCCACATTTGTGGTATTTGGAGGAAGTCTATGTTTTTAATTAGCTACTGAATTATGTATCCTGTGTTGATAAACAGGCATATTACAATCTTTTTCTTTCAAATTCCCAGGTGCTCCACCTGTGCCTACTGAAGATTTAGCAAAATTGACTGGGAGGTAAAAACCTTTTTCATGCATTGCACTTTACTAGATTTGTTGAGTACAAATACCGCGACCATCATATGTCAGATAGCTTCAGAGAAAAAAATGAAACTATAAAATGGCAGTCACAATTATACCATACAGGGAAGAAGAGATGAGAGTAGTTTCCCCGCCTAGATCCTTTCTCTCAGACTCTTTGTTTTGATTTATTTGTATACAATACATGCATGTATGATCTTATAATATATGTATTAATTTCTTTAGACGCCCATACGACCTGTGGAAAGCTGCTTATGCATCTGTTTTTCCTCCAGAGGTAAGTGATTTATTAATATGGAGGATTTTGCATAAAAATGATGGAATTTTTGCCTGAAAATTTGAAATAGTGATCATGCAGTCGACATGGCTTTTAGGGCCGGCTTTAATCGAACTCAATATTGGAGGATGACTGTATAATTGGTAAATGCAGTTATGCCTTGTTTTAGAACCAGCAAGATACACTGAAGAACGAAGATATTACCCATAATCCTCAGTATGCTGAGTCAGGAATTGATTCAATGCGTGCGCAAAAAGACGAGGTATATATGTGAAGGTTGTTTGTAATATGACATACTGTATCTTGAACCTTAGCTATTTTAAAAAATACTGCTATGCGTGTATTTTCGGAGAGTGATACTACAAGTTGTTCTGTATTTCGAAAAGATTCATGTACAAGTGTGGGCGATAGCGATACAAGGAATTGAAACCTGGTGGGGTTTTTTTTGTCATTGTCGGGCCATACTGTACCCGAATTTGCTGGTGGCAATGAAACTACTTATTTAAATGCAATGCTTTATATTGTGCAAATTTTTGCGTAGGAGCTCGAGAGATACAAGAGGCAGGCAGAAAGGAAAGCAAGAACTTCTACTCATGGGAAAACCACACAACCACGGGAAAAATAAACTGAGAAAAGACAGATATCATGAGGGCTGTACAAAAGGTGAAATAAAAATATGGGATGTGCTAATAATGTATTATAGAAGTAAATATCACTGTAGACAATTACCTATGGAGCTCAAGCAAACGCCTTTTTTGTCAACACGAACGTCGGATTGCCAAGGGGGGATTGGATTAAAAACTGTATCAGACTGTCAGTTTGTTGGTAATCTTCAACACATATGACAAAACATAAGTTTTTCGCTTCTTTACACGAGTGCTATGATGCAAAATGCCGCCAAAATCAGTTATACCAATAGACCTTTCCCCTTTTAAATGAAATTTTGATCTAAACAAGCCTGGACAAAAATTTCATCACAGCTTGAAAGAGCATCCAAAATTAGTGATATTCCGAAGTTTCGTTGCGAAATGTTGTAAAATGCGGATAATATAGCCTTGCGAAGTTTGCCGTTTTTCAGTCATTTTATGTATTACAAACGGGAAATTGATAATCAGATGATTATCAATTTCCCGTTTGTAATTCAAAATGACTGAAAAACGGCAAACTTTGCAAGGCTATATTATCCGCATTTTACAACATTTCGCAACAAAACTTTGGAATATTACTAATTTTGTGATGCTCTTTCAAGCTGTGATGAAATTTTTGTCCAGGCTTGTCTAGATCAAAATTTCACTTAAAAAGGGGAAAGGTCTATTGTCGGGCGACGTTCATGTTGACAAAAACTTCGCTTGCTTAAGCTCACTATTGCTTGCATAGACGACCTTTGCCGTATTATTGCACGTATATGCATACAGCTATTTCAATTAAGGTTGTCCCCCAAGCAAAGCGGAAAAGTCGTATACGAGCGCGAAAGGCCGCTGGGAATCGCTAATTAATTCATTCATTTATTAGCGATTCCCAGCAGCCTTTCGCGCTCGTATTCGACTTTTCCGCTTTGCTCGGGGGACAACCTTAATTGAAATAGCTGTATAACACTCTTCCGTTTATGGAAACACAGATGTCCACATCAAGTTGAATATGTATGATAATTTAAGATTATTCAACATAAGTTATAAATTTAGTAATTTATTCGATATCATGCAGTTATTTATTTTGGCGAGGTTGTGCCTGCTATCAGTACTGTTCAACAGGGCCGCCGAGAGGCTATACAAATTCCCAGGGTGTCTATGACGTCATAATTGCAAAACGGGAGAAGCGGTGCTTTACAATATATTTCAGTTTATTGCATATTAATTATACTGACGCAACTAGGATTTATATTCTCGGTTAAATTTTGTATCAAGTAATTTTAAGGGCCTTCGTCGCTTAGGGGGGCCGCTTTTGAGCTGGGAGTCCGGGGGAAGGTGCCCCCCTCCCACGCTCTCGTCGGCCCTGCTCTTCAGGCTGTCGGTATCCCAAATCAAAAGTTAAAGCCAGAATTTATGCTCATGCATGCAGTCGGCTATAACTATTCATACGTCTTGAAATATTTCATTTGTTCTTTTTTCATTTCACTTTGAATCAAATTTATACTATTAGTTTCCAAATTTTTTCAATGATTCTATTAAATTCTGCAAAAAAATTTATACAAAATGGCGGAAATATTACTATGCAAGTTGTACGTAGTGTATTGTCAGAAGGTAATAAGAGAAGTTTATATGAACCAAATACAATATATTTTCACGTTAGCACCTCAAGTTGTTCTGCTGACAATATCAGAATAATCTTGTTGTTCTGTTAACAATATCAAGAGTCCTGTGGTGAAATGCACCATGTCCATGAATGTTTTATTTTGCAACGTGTTCGATCTGTAAGCACACGTCTTAAAGACTTGTGCTTACAGGTAGTGTTATAGCCCTATCGTATTTGCGCTGTTGACGATCCAGCTTCGTTTCTAGCGTTAAACCTGCCTCATACCCAAGCGTCTCTTAGCGATGCGCGTATGACGAATTTACATGAAGTATTGTAGTGGCGAGAGAAGGCCGAAAGGGCTGACGGGAAGAGTGCACTTCCGACAGCCCCTTCGCTCAGATTAGATTCAAAAGCTCGGTGTGACGTCACTACATTAACTGAGTGCAGGATAAGATGACGTCACTATGTTTCACTGTGCCATCCAGTGACCTCGATATATATCTGGAGCAAGAACTTCAGTCATTCGGCCTATGAGAAAAATGAAGCCAAGATGGCGGCCATTGATTCTATAAACCATGCAATATGGCGTCGATTGCGAAGGACCTCAGTGCAAAGAACTATTGCGATAATATTACACGCTCCGGTTTTATAGATCGGTTTTCCCACAAAAAGAAATCTATTTCAGTTGGCATATTAATTGACAGGTTTTTGTTGGCATCTCACTCGATTGAATAACAGTTGAAGGGTATTGTAGATGGAAATTATCGAGTGGAAATTTATATACATTTATTAGACCTAACCAGGAACAACTGCGAAAAATGCAACTTTACGTCCCTGGCAGGAATTGAACCTGTGGTCCTGCGATTCCAGTGCAGCGCTTTAAGGCCGTTTTCCATTAACGTTCGCTTTGCCCGCGCGGGCGAAGCGTTCATTGTTTTTGAAGCCCGTCACGCCCGCGTCACTGCCTTTAAGGCAATTTTACATTGCAGTCGCTTTGCCCGCGCGTGCGGAGCGACCAATTTTAATCACGTGAAAAATCAGTCGCCCGGACACGCCAAGAAAGTTGAATGTAGTTCTATTTTCATGGCGTGTCCGCGAGCATTCAGGCGGACAAAAAATGCACAGGTTAGGCAACTATAGAGAAAGTTGAGATGTTCGCTCCGCCCACGCGGGCAAAGCGACTGCAATGGAAAATGGCCTTTAACCAACTGAGCTACAGACGCCAGTTGTCGAGCTCTAACCACAAGTTCATGTATATACTAGGGTAATGCCACCATGTATAGATTATGGGTAAATATCAAGATTTTGTTGGCTTCTCACTCGATTGAATAATAGTTGAAGGGTACTGTAGATGGAAATTATCGAGTGGAAATAGAATCGCAGGTTCGATTCCTGCCAGGGACCTAAAGGCCTGATTCCACGAGGCGGAATTTTTCGACCGAAACGAAATTTCTCTTTGTCTTTTTACAATTAGTTCTGCTCGAGAGCTCTGAAACAAAGAGAAATTTCGATTCGGTCGAAAAATTTCGCCTAGTGGAAAACCGCCTTAAAGTTGTATTTTTCGCAGCTGTTCCTGGTTAAGCCTGGTTCACATATATGCCTGCGACGTGCCTGCGACGTACCGGCGACGATGCCGGTGGTAGCTTAAAACGTAAATTATGTGAATATTTGTTCGCCGATTACCTCCAGTGCCACAGTTACATCGGCGGTAGGCCGGGAAAGTGGACTTGAGTTCAAATTTGCCGGTATTTCGGCGGCAAGTAGAGGCATAATGATACAGTCGCAGGCATATGTGAACCAGGCTTTAGGTCTAATAAATGTATATAAATTTCCACTCGATAATTTCCATCTACAACACCCTTCAACTGATTAATTGACAACATGTCCAGGCATGAAATTGAAGACGTTAATTTACGGCTAATCGTCGTGGGGACGTGGGCTGTAACTAGCTACTTCTTTCAATATTATTTATTTATATGCCTGCAAATTGAGGTTTTAATAGTCTTTATTTATTAAACAAGTTTCATTGTAGGCCGATTTGTCACGGAATATATCTTGGGAGTGTCAATTTGACAATGTTATAAAGTTTGAAGAAACTGCAGAACAAGAATTGTCGGTCTTATTAATCTAATACATGCATTGCATGGCAAGCTCCCCGAGACGATTTCTTAATTGAATTGTAGTCAGTAATTTTTTATTAATAGTGCGTGCTCGGTAGAGACAACGTCCTGTAGTTAAAATTTCTTGTTGCCATAGCAGAAACAGGGCCAGCTGCCGTTAACGGTGTCTCTAACAAGATCGGCCAAATTCAATAAGACCATATTGAAAATTTTTGAAGCGTGTATAAACGATCGCAACAGTTTTTATCACGTAAAATTTTAAATTTGTTCCCTGGACGTTTCAAATATATAATTTTTTTTCATTAACGAAGTTGTGCTATTACGTGCCTGAATCCTCAATCGATTTGAAATATATTCATGCAAGCGCTTATTCTTATAATAAATATTTATGTTTGCGAGTACCTGTTAGATACTAAGACTTATGGGAACGCTGTTGTCCAACACTGGGGCATAAATTGCATGAAACTGCTTAACAACGGCTTGAAAATACTTAGAAACATTTTGTTTCGTACCAATTAGCCGTACTAAAACCGGTTTCGTACTGAAATCGTCTTTAGATAGTAGATTTATACAATTTAGTACGAAAAAACCTCTAATATGAGTTAGTGGAGACAGCTGGATGCTGATTAAAATAGTGACAAGCGATCGACAAAAGTAATTTAAAATTCTACTCTTGATTGTTTTATGTTAAAATTGTTCGGAATGTGAAAACGACGTGTTTACTATATGAAGAACCATAAATAATTACAGACAAATGGACGATGCATTAGCCCAAGAGCTTGCCATATTATTACATGCAAATATATGAATGCTTAATTTTTATGAGTGCCACAAGAAAATATATCCCGCATTTAGCCCGCTCGATTTCCGTACATTAACTGATAATACTAAGCCGCACATGTCTTGACAGTCCTGATATAACATGTAGTATAAACTGCCATGGTATTTATCACAGTTTTATTGTTTTTCAAGTGGAAAGCTGCATTTAAAATTTGTTACTAATCCCGTATCACCATGACGACGTGTCTGTTAATAATTGAAGAAGCCGTCCGAACAGTAACATGGCGACATGAACTTGCTCGCTATGTGCTGGAAAATAGCCGCGATTTCACCAAAAAATGACGACAGATTCGTCTACAACGACACCAGCGGCCAAGAAAGATGAAGCGGGCAAGGAGAAAAAGCTAACTCCTTATGAGAAAGTCTGTAGTGATGTAAACAATGATGAACGATACCTGAAGGAACTTGCTCTGGGTAAACGTATAGGTTTCTATCGCTTACGCGGGGACTTAGGAAGCGGGAATTTTTCCCGCGTAAAAATGGGAGTTCACTGTCTAACAAGAGGTACGTACGTGTTACTACATTCCAGTACGCGTTTAACATTCAGTTATAAATACAATTTTATCGATATATTTTAGATAAAGTCGCAATTAAAATTTACGACAAAACAAAACTGGACGGGAAAACACAGCGGCTTCTTTCTAGGGAAATATCCTCTATGGAGCATCTTCATCATCCGAATATAATACGACTATACGAAGTCATAGAGACGCTTACGAAACTACATCTTGTTATGGAGTTCGCGAATGGTGGGGAATTGTTTACAAAAATATCTACTGAAGGAAAACTTGCCGAGAAAACAACGAAACGAATCCTTACTCAAATAGTTGCCGCTTTAGATCATATGGTAAGGATTTATATCTGACATAAAACACTATACCAAGATACTACTCGTGCTAAAGTAGCAATCTTCCACTTCCTGACGGATGCGATTGAGTTGATGCCGGTACAGACTTATATGCAAAGTACTTTCCTTTGCATACCAATATCTCGTATGTATGGTTTTAGAAAAAAGTATTCTTGATATTTATTATTGATAACAAGAATATTAATATTAAGTATGATCTTTTTTACGCCTTGTTATATTTAATTGCAACATTTGATTCTCCTTGTTATATTGCAAAAATATTTTCTTATTAATTCTTATACTATATAATGACTTATTTCAACACAATTCTGTTGTATTTTTAGAAGCTTTACATGTTGGGGACGTCTTAAGAACAAAATCTGTAATTTACTTCATCATAGAATATAGCACTAAGACTTAGCCACTAGATATATATCCATTTTTACAATTATGCCTTTGGGCATTGGTCGTAAATTGATTTTCCTCGTAGTTTTGAAAACGTTTGTTATAAACAACAAAGTAGTCCAATATCAAACACAGAATAAATATTGGTTTAATAGCACCAGATATTTACATATAGTCTGAGTCAGTCAAGAGAATCGTATATAGTCATCGTGTTATGGCATTAAAAAGTTTTGCTATATATGGTTTCATGGTTCTAAATAACCACTGCACATGTTTCACTAGTTACAATCTATGCTTCAGCCAAGCTATATTGCTCGCTGAGTTCAGTTACATTTAAAAACCCGGATTCAAGCCTTTAATCCCAACTCTATAAACAGTATAACCTTATATCCCTACCTGACATTAACCATATATACACAGTATTATATAGGTAGGAAGAGCAAATAGCTCTCTTTTAATTTAAGGCCATGTTACGACTATCAAATTTTGCTGCAACTTGTTGAATGTTGGGGGTTTTTTTACACACCCCACACGACTTTGGATCTTTTAACTCTTAAGGCCCATACATGCAGACCGGACGCGATTTGGCAACGCGACGCAAATTTTCAATTTTCAATGACATCTAACTTTAACATTTGCCAAACTCACTATTATGTGAAAAGAATTTCCATGGAAAATGTTGACCTGCATTTTACATCGTCTTTCTCTGACACATACTCCGCATAGAACCTTGAGGACTGGAAAACGACCTTAATGACTTGCATGAAAACAGTCTTTTGCTGGGTTTTAACTATTTGTTTATCTTTAGCACAAGAAAAATATAATTCATCGTGATTTGAAGGCTGAGAATGTTTTCATTTCTGGTACAAGTGTGGTGAAAGTTGGAGATTTCGGTTTCAGTACATCTGCTGCAGCTGATGCAGCTTTGAACACGTTCTGTGGCTCGCCGCCTTATGCTGCACCCGAACTATTTAAAGACGAGTTCTATTTAGGACCTTGTGTTGACATCTGGGCACTAGGAATATTGCTGTATTTCATGGTGACAGGAGTCATGCCATTTCGTGCTGAAACAGTGGGCAAACTGAAAAAATCTATATTGGATGGGATGTATTTTATGCCTGATTTTCTAACAGACAGTTGTAAATATTTAATAAGGAAAATCTTGCAACTGATTCCTAATGATAGACTCACAATTGAACAGATTAAGAATTCCAAATGGCTTCAAGGTGAAAAATTTCCGTTGGAAGATGATAAATACAATAAACTTCCTCCTGCTCTTGACTCATGCAATGAGGAAGAAAGGGAGGCACGATGTTCATTAGAGGAACTTGGGGTACCTTTTCAAGATAGTACAGGTACACATATGGATGTCAGGAGCAATGTAACTGGAACATACAGAGTTGTACTTCATAGGATTCAGAAAGAGAAATCCGAAGTAGAGCAGCCGTTATTAAAAAATGGTTTAACTAAACTTGACCAAGATGAGTTTATCACTCCAAAACAACCCAAATCAAAAGTTTGTGTCATTCTGTAGATAGGAATGTGAATTCAGTTGTGAACTGGAGCTAACTTTGAATTCACTCAAACATGAGTAAGAAGTGTTCTTCCTGAGGCGGTTCCAAGTATTTTTAACCAGTTGAGAAAGGAACATATTTATAGAAGATCATTGACATTTTGAAATTTTGGGATATGGATTGATTTTTAGTAGCGAAAATTCATCTGTCAATACGCATCTCGATCTTTCTGACGGTCCTCCGTTTTGGTGTACAAGATGAATCGTGCCAGATATTTTTCCGATGCCTATAATACCAGGATCATCTGTCACTATGTACAAGCTACGCGCATACACGCCACTGATACACGCAGGCGTGTCAGAGATCGAAACAATCAAACAAAATGAAAGTTTGAAACTGTCAGTTTCTCCGTTATTCTGAGTTACTATAAAAAAAATTCATTTTCCAACTTTGGTTTTGTTCGACTCATTTTAAAATGTCAAGCTAGATGTGAATATAAAAATAGGAGGACGAGTAGTTGCAGTGGTTAAACCGGTGATAAAACCTATCACAAAGGGAACCGGTTTGACTAACTCACGGGCGTTCGTTGCGAGGGTTAGGGTGAATGTTTAAACGAAAGCCAGGGGAAAGCCTCTTAGAGGCTATGGACGCTATTTGTAACAAATAATCCTGAACTTTGGCTTTAATATTCTTCATATTGACAAGGGTTTAATTTCTAATATTGACAATGGGGTTCAATTTCTAAAAACAATTATTTCGAGACTACTGGAAATTGATTCGCAAATATCTTGAGAGAAAATTTTGACTATTAATTCACACCGTGCAATAACTTATGAAGCTGCGCTCGTTGCTAAAGGGATGGACGAGAAGGAGGTTTTCAGTGGCGGCTATTTTTCATGATCGTTAAAACGTGAAAGAATGAACAACAAGGGCGTCAAGACTTGCAACAATTCTAAGCCTTAATTAAGGCGTCAAGACACTTATAACAATTCTAAGCCTTACTCTAACACCAATCCTAAACTTCAACCATAAAGCGACCTCTGAGTTTAAATTTTGAACTATCCTGAGAAGTTGAAAACCTTCCTCATCCACCCCTTTAGCCATTACCACGAAGTTAAGTTATATTATTATTGTCATTGACAGTGTATATTTATATTTAGCTAATTTATACGTTACTGTATATATATTTATTACCAATTTATTTATTAACGCACATTTATGCGGCCATGCATAAAATTGAATTAAATGTATATTTATTCGTTTTATTATATCTTGTAATTTTATATTAAATTACCTTGGTTTCGCTGTTGGTTGGTTTCTGTAAGCGTTATTAAAGCGTTACACCCGTTTTCAAAATTACGCGACCAAGGACGAAAATGCTAGAGTTGACATGTCAGTTTTATGTCATTCGGTCACGAAGTTTAAACTTTGAGTTTTGCGGTTCCTTGTCGATGTATATGCTTTGTATGCTTTATATTAACAGGCTTACAATGATTTTCAAGATATTTTAGTGAGAATTATTGCAAAATTTAAGCACAAACAAAATCATAAGACATAACATCACCGTTATAGTCTAGCGCGCGTGTTTTACACTGACAGCTAGATTCCGGGATAAATTGTTATTTTTCAAACTTTAAAAGTTATTCACGGCACATATTTCTGTTGTGATGGTTTGTATTGTGCTTTAGTTTGCATATCTAAGTTATCTAACTCATTTTTGTTCAGTTTTGGTATTAAATACGGTTTAAAATGTCTTTTGACAGTTTGTTTACGTTTGCTATTTTTAGCAGTTTTTGTGACATAAAACTGACATTCGAGTAAGAGTATTTTTCTGGGAGGTCGCGTAATTTTGAAAACGGGTTTAAAACTAAAAACAGCAACAGATGCAAAATGGGTCAATATGATGCTTGAACAACTTCAAAAGTGTTTGAAAACGTTCTTGTCTCCAAATACAAGACTAATATAATACTACGACAATTAACTGTCAGTTGACCACCATCTCTGGTATAATATTTGCTAGTGAAACGGTGAAACCATCAACCTACAGCTAATATAGCCAAGCAAGATTTTCAAACAATTGTTTTAAAACGTTTATACTAAAAAATTGCCATACAAATACACATGAACATGTGCATGCAGGTTACATTTAATATTAAAGAAGTATACTAATTATGTAATAGCACTTAATCAGTAAGATCTCATCATTTTATATTTAGTGATAAGGACACGAATTGTCAGTTGTGACTGCATGCATTAGAGTAAATGTCACCGCGATGACGTCCTCCACCATTAATCATGCAATGATTTTTTCTTCATAATTTAACATTAATAATTGTTACTTCGTAAAAATTGCGATAGTTCGAATGATAATCCATGAGTCAAATATTTTAGATTTCACTGGGCTAACATTAATTTTGATACAACCAATCGCTTTGCTAGATAGTTTCCTTCCACTTATCTCGATACTTGGTTCTCTAAATTCAGCCACAGCTTGAAATTTTCCTGTGTCATGACAATCTGGTCTGGATGAGGTTTTCATGGTTTCATCTCCAAATAAAACCGATACCTCTCCACTCGGAAATATATCTTCATAGAGATAAGTTCCAGTTTCAATCAGCACCCGCTTGATGTTTATTAACTGTTTGAAATTAATCAGTATATAATCTCCTTCTTTTGGTGTCCACGCCCAGAAAAAACCTTTGCGAGTCTTGTACAAGTCTTGAATGGGCACATCTCCTCCGAGAACTAGTGATGTTGTCACGACAGCTGCAGGATTATCTCCGTTGAATTCAAAATTTTCACGAATTGGCAACGGTTTTGACATTTCACGAACCCTTCGTGATATTCGAAAATTACGCTTATAGAATTTTAGTATAAAATTGACTGGCATATAACTGCCAAATATATCAAAAAGCTCAACAAACTCCGAGAAACTGTCTGTTTTATAAATACTACCAGTTATTAAACCTCGAAAGTTTTCAGCCCAAAGCCAATGACTGGTAGTCCAGTTTTTGACGGAGATCAGCAGGGACGACAATAAATCACCCTCGACTATCACGTGATCTGTGAATTGAATAAAGTAGTCCGATTGTCTAGCAGAGAATTTCCAAAGAAATGCAATATATCTGATTAGAGATTTTGCTTTCTCGATATACTCTGGACTGTGGGATGTAAATGTTTCCCAATATTGGCTCTTGTCCTTTGACTGGATTTTAAAACCGTCTGGTATTTTAACAATCTGTAAGATTTCATTTTTAATCCAATAGTTGTATCTGATGTGCATTTTATCGAGAAACTTTGCTGTATCTGTTTCTGAGCAGTCTCGTAAAAGAATTACAACTGATACTTGATTTTCGTTTGTCTTCTCTAAATGTGAAAATAAGGATTCCAGAGATCTTTCTAATTTTTCGCACTTTCCACAATTTTCTGTGTGTATATAGCCCACGGTGAGAAAACCTGTTAAATAGAAATAGAAATTTACCATGTTAGACAGTATGGTAGGTTAAGAAATTCCATGCCGTTGCTGTGGACGCTTTTAAAAAGTAACATATGGCGTAAGCCAGAGTACTGAAGCCTTAAAAGTTCCGTTGGTACATAAGGTTTATATAACAAGCTATTCATGTTCGGACCTCTGTGTTCGGACGGGAAAAAAGTATATTGGATTTTTGCATGAGAATTAAGGATATGCCATATGGAAACCGAATGTAACGCAGAAACTTCTGCTGCATGTAGGGTTTCGTTTTTGAGTTTTGTGGTGTTTTACAATTACTTTAATAAACGACTTCGAGTGTATGACTTCTTGAAATAAGCAATTGAGATTCAGATTTGATCAGAAAAGATCAAAGTAGATATTGAAAATGGTTCACTAAAGTAGATATTGAAAATGGTTCACTACCGTGGTATCAAGGAGAAGAAACTCGTATCCGAGTGTAATGTGTGATACTGATAAAAAGTTGACAATTGACAATGAAACCATGCAACCCGTACCTTTGTTTTGCTTTAGTTGACCCAGTACAACACACTTCTCGAAAAATGAGTTTTGGATAATAGATGCAGCAGACTGCTTGTTCTTGCAATTTAATTTATCTTCCATGACACAGTCTTGAATCTCGCTTGGAGCTTTGTTCCCGTTTACTAAACACTTTTCTTTGTATCCAGTGAATGATTTTCTAAGTACTGGATAACGATAAAAATTAAATTAATCTACTTCACTTTGGATATGCAGTCAGCAGCTTACTTATATACAGTCAAGTGGCTTATTCATATTCCGGAATATTTTATCTGTATACTTACCAGTGTATACCATATTTCATTATACTTGACCATGCAGTATATATACCATAGTCGTTGAAGGTTTTGTGTATTGAAATTTCGAGTGTAAATCTTACACATTTTATTAGACCTAACCAGGAGCAGTTGCGAAAACTGCAACTTTATATCGACCCTGTGGACTGCAACTATCGACCCTGTGGACTGCAACTATCGACCCTGCGGACTGCAACTTTATATCGACCCTGTGGACTGCAACTATCGACCCTGTGGACTGCAACTATCGACCCTGTGGACTGCAACTATCGACCCTGTGGACTGCAACTATCGACTCTGTGGACTGCAACTATCGACTCTGTGACTCTGGTGCAGTACTCTTCTAACCAACTGAGCTACAGGGGCCAGAACTCTAACCGCAAGTTCATGTATATATACTAAGGTGATGCCAATGTAAGGTGTATAATGGGTAAATATCAGGATTTTGGGCGTCTACAAAACTCAACAATTAGTTCTATCAAGTGAGATGTAAAATGCTGATATTCTACTATAGTCGGCATACTTCACTGGTATGTATATAATACACCCTTCCGGAAAGTACGTCACTTTGGCTATAGAGCCTCGCTTTCGTGTAAACCCAACGTCTCGATCATGAAAACGAGGTTTTATATCCAAGGTGACGTATTCTTCCCGGAAGGGTGTATTCTTTATCACTTATTTACTAAGACCGAGGGAAACAGCGTGTTTTGTGGCCACGAGACCGCCGGTCGAGGGGCCACAAAATACGCTGTTTTCCCGAGGTCTCGGTAAATAAGTGTTTTATTATATAGCAAGTGCCCAAGTCTCGATAGTTCCTCTGGTATTCCGAAACTGTAATAAAACCGACCGGCAGACATGCTTTAAACTTGCTGGTTGACGCGAACAACTCGCTCCTCAATTTCGGTTTTATTATTGACCGTCAATAATTGTTTCATTGTTGACCGGTTGCCCTGCAGTAAAGTGCATGACGTTTTGTGGACAGCACGTGATATGGTTTTGACCAATCGGCAAACAGGAAAATTGAACTTTGACACTTGCTATATAATAATGTGCTTTATGTGTATATACCATATTTCGGTGTGCTGGCTTCACCATGCCATATTTCTGTATAATTCACCAGTGCATAACTGTATATATATAACCGTAAATATTTACTATATAGTAAAGTATACAGAAATACGTACCGAAATATGGTAGCTGAAACTTGCAAATAGACCTTACCTCAACTTACCTCTTATTGCACTCTTGCCCCAATGGTCGCGCTTTCATGTGCACCTGCCATACTACTGCAACAGCGAACATGAAAACGAGGCCATTCAGGCATAACGTATTAATTATACCGAAATACGTATTTCGGGATATCCTATTTTTATCCTATTGCCAACAGCTAGCTCAAAATTAAATGAAACGTTTGGTTATACTGTTAAAAAATTTCATCGCGATTTGTTTGTTTTGACAGTTAACAATTAAAAATTCGCGTTTCTCGCGAGTTGTATGTGGGGAACTTTCACTTCATGGCTCATGCTGGGCTCAGCCTGCCAACATCTTGCCAAATGATATCTTGGTACGTAAGCGGGCTAACGCAATAACGCACAGTTATTGTACACAACTTACCTGTAAACGAGTAAAATATGCTAAGACTGAGAAACAAGAATAACGTTAGTGTATACAGCTTTCTGCGCCATTTTCGGCCAAACATCTTTTTAATTTTAACTACAAATTAAAACGTCTTTTATTTACGTACTCGTGTCTGTACAGTATGGACAAAATATTAAATTTATGAATTATAACTATAGCATATTTTGGCATGACATTACACACCTTTAATTTGGTAAAGTAAACAATAAAATCACAGAAAATGGAACGAATTCTTTGGAATGATTACTATAGTTGCTAGGGACTTGGCCACGTTTCACATGCGGTGTATTTTAATGATGTAATTGTTTTCCTTTTCCCGCGTTAAGCCCGGTTTCCATTACGTCCGCTTTGCCCAGAGCAGACACTATTGAGCATGCGCCGTAAAGTTATGGCACGTCATAATTTTACGGCGCATGCTCAATAGTATTCGCTTCGCCCGCTCGGCATAAGCGGACGTAATGGAAACCAGGCCCGGTTCAAACTTTTCATGTGCCGAATACAAAGTTCGACGTCTGAATCAATTAAATTTGACCGACCCGGTCGAATAAAACACGGAATAAAACGACCGTGGCACATATCAATGGATGCGACATTGGTTCAAACATCGCCGAATTTTTCATGCATGTGCCGAATTGAATATAATACATGAATTGGCATTTATTACCTTGAATTTCCCCTAATTGTACTCATTTAGCCCATATTTTGAGTTAGTTGGGCCTTGCGCCGAAATGAAAAAGTGCCATTGTTGCAAAAGCGAAGTGCAAGAGGCTAAATGCATATAATTCTGAGCGATACGTATAAAATATAGGTTTCAGTTTTTTATAGCTTTTTCGGTAGCCGTTCAGCGTTGTACAATGATAAGATTTTCGATTGATTCGTTGATCAATTGTATAAATGCACCAAAGCAAGAGTCATGCAGTAGAATGAGTTTTTTTCGGAATCCATACTGATTATCAAAAGTATATAATATTTAGTCACTAACGGCCATCTATAATTATTTCCAGTAACTTGGAGGATACTGGAAGAACCAGTGGAAAGAACAGATACTGGCCTATAACGTCATATTGCGTGATCATGCACCTGATTAAAATTGTAACTATTTTTTTTCATTAAAAAATGATGGCGGAATTTCACAACCTCGTCGCCAGGGTCTTCCTCGTTATGGCGCGCGAGCTGAGGAAGACCCTCGTATATATCAGATGCTGTTTGGCTTCAAATGCGTCTTAATAACCACTGACAATGTTGGAATATGTATAGGTTATTGATTGATGGTACTGTATATCAAAGTACGTACTGTACATTTATACTGAATTTATTTTCATACGAGTTTCAACTCATAATATTCGCGGTCCTGACCGCGTAGCTCAGTTGGCAGAGCATTGGGCTAGTATTTCAAAGGTCGTAGGTTCGATTCCCACCGTGGCCGGGCATATTTTTCAAGCTCGCCCGGTGTGGATATACACTCAGAGTAACATCACAAATATCATATTCACCTGAGTACACAACACCAACGGCAACACAGGAAAAAAAAGCATTTTAAAAGTTGCAATAAACCCTTTACGTACATTAAGATCGGCCGATGGGTTATATTAAATACTAAGGATTTTAGAGTTCTCATTTTGGCAACAAAGAAGCTTGTGACAAAGTACAACATGTGTGACCGAATGCGCCAAATTTACCTTTACGATAAAGTATGAAGATGAATACAGAACATGGGATAACTTCTCAATGATGTACCAGGAACGAATGTACTCTTATGACGAGTACGGAATAACGGACGATGGTCTACAAGTTTGTAATTCTTCTGACCGTCTCATTATAAAAGAAAAATGGCGTAATTTCGTTGTTTCGGAAAAGATAACGATAACTTTCAAATATTGTAATGTATTTGTGGACGGTTTTTACCACGAAAATTACACATTATATAAGAACTTTACAGTTTTGTCAAGCCTATACCGCCTACCGGGCAGAGTTTCAGAAGCCAAAATTACGGAGTGATTTTGGGGTATTTTGCATGTGATTTGTTCGGCAAAGCTCAGTTTATCCTGCAATGATTATTTGGTTAAAGTGAAGTACGATGATAAATTGAACGTTTTGAAAAACCTTTTGCTGTTTTATATAACAACAAGATGTACGATTATTGCGAATATGGATTCAGCCAGGACAGTCTTGAAATGTCGGTGCTTCCAATGATGCAAGAGTACAGGCAATTTGGAGAACTCTAAATTCGTGGCAAAAGGCATTACCGGCATCCTGTTATCGTTCCTATAAATTAAATGCAAGGTACTACACTGTGACTAAGCAGTCTGTTGTGTATTCGGCAGATAACGGTCAATATTTCAAAAGATATGATTATGCGGTGATAGTAACTGTTACGAACAGATTACTATAGATAAGATGAAGTAGTTATAGTTTCCCGCCATATATCGCGGGCTCGGGGACGTTGGGAAAAATAGATTTTATACTTTTATATTCTAACCGAGTTGGCGGTTAAAAATGCAATAAATTTGTCATAAAAATAGAGATTTTGAGTTAA